TGCGGAAAGCCTCGTAGGCCTTGTTGATCTTGTTGTGTTCAATCAACCAACGAGGGGATTCAGGGCAGAAGTAGACCTGCGCACAGACGACCAATGGCAAAACCACCGTTGAACCCAACATCAGACGCCACGATAGGTTGTCTGGCAAACCCATGAACGCAACGCCCATGATATTTCCCAGCATGATACCGAAGGCGGTCCACATCTGCCACATCATGACCAGCGCTCCTCGAATCGGAGCGGGCGAACACTCGGCGGCATAAACGGGGACCGTAGACGATTTGGAACCGATGCCGAGACCAAGAACGAATCGAGCGATAAACAGGTTGACCCAGGAGTTACAGACACCTTCCCAGACTGAGGCCACAGCAGCAATGAAACAAGATACCCAGATAGTACCACGCCGTGCCAAGTATCTATTCATAGGCTCCGTGAGCCAACAGCCGATAACTGCACAGGCCAGATAGGGAGCGCCAACAACGAGACCGGTGATATATTCGCTCTTAATGTTGAGTTCCTTCGCATCTGGTCAGCACTGCAGTTCTCGTGCTCGAATTTGTCTATCTCACCTTGAGGTAAATGGCCTGTGCGCCATTGTTGACGGTTTCGTCCATACCTTGAACCGCGGCGGCCAACGAGCACATGGCTAGAATCCAGTTAGCACAGTTCAGGCAATCCAAAAAAAAGTAAAAGAACATGCCGCGCTCAGCGACTATTTCCATTACGTACATGCCATGAAGTAGAGCTGCCAAGGCTGTGACCATTTATGAGTGTGTTCTCGCCGAATGGCCTCCCTCTCATCCTCGCTCAGCTCTGGGATATTGTGGGCATCGTGAGGATTCTGCGAAATCAGAGCTCCTTTACGGAAAAGGTCTTTATGGGCATCCAACCCATACTGAGCACAAAATCTGTCCACATCCTCCATGAGCTGCTGGCGGGGAATGCCTTCCAGAGGGTTCTTGAAGACGGCGCTGAGCTTATTTGGGGGTCGGCCCTCGATGTCGTAAATACTCGAGCGCCTTGGCTTCTCTGAATGTTCGGCTGTCGGAGACACTTCATCCATGCCATCTGTCTTCTTGTGGTGGCCGGCATCCGGCCCACGTTCGTCCTTCATCGTGGGGGTTCAATGAAACTTAGGAGCAAGAACAGAAGAGTAAAGTCTGGATAGCAGATCTATCAGGGGCAGAAGGAGCTTTCAGGTGATTGTAGATATCGGAAGACAGTAATCCTAATTTTCTGGCCAACTAGTGGCTTCCTAGTAGCTAGCATAGCTTGACCGAAATAGCTATGATACCACGCAAGAACATGGTATCCGCCGTGAGGTGCGGGGCTGCGTGTCCGGCTTTATAGGACATACTGGGTAACAGCCTCAGCGAATGGCTTCAGACGGCCAATCATATCATGGCCAATCACATGGGAGCAGGTTATCTCTAAATCTTCTCAGAAGTCAGACGCGGCCCATGCCGCTACCCGGTAATGGAGAATGTGTGTACGGGAGTTTTAGTCCACGAACCATGTTTTTCAACGGTTTCAGAGTAAGAAACTCAGGCTCCATCCAACATAGCCATGCGGATTATACTAGGCAATAGTGTTGCAAGCCAACGGCAGGAATGATTGTTCTCTGATGGCATCTCCCCAACGCTATGACTCTCCAGTCAGAGTCAAATAAGTAATCAGCTACACATGGCGTTGGGCTGTCCCAAGCATCGCCGAATCAAATGAGACCAGACCGAGGCATATGTACAGTATGTAGTATTGGAAAAAGTCTCGATTGTCATCATACCCTCACAAGTCATGGCATGGTTACACTGTCACCCTGCCTCGACGTATCTAATGCCTCCTTTGATGGAGATATGCCCCGATCAGACGAGTGACCCCACACATGCCATCTCCCCAACGCGGAACCCCGTGGGGGAGGGCAGTCAGAGACAGAAAAGTGGAGAGGACATGCGTGGTGGGGTCACGGAAGACACCATGAGTCGGACCATGGAAGAGTCCAACTCGAAATTAACTGTCTGACTGACATTGGCTGTTCCGATCTTCCAGACTAGTCATGAACTAAGCAACACGAAGCCTTTGGGGGGCCTGAGGCCAAGGCGGATGTGCGGGGTGGCGCCCAATCACGTGTGGGGTGAGCCCTACCTCTTGCGTCATTGTGCTTGGGGTTTGGAACTACTCACTCGATGGATTGGCTCCCGTGGGCTTCCATGGGGGTAAGCCTCGATTTCTACGTCTCCGCCACCCTGATTAAAATGAATTGTGACGTTCATATGATTATCGCAGCGCCATTGGTCTGTTGGCCCCAATCACCCAAGATTGTGGATATTGCCCGGTGGGTAGGATTTCTAGCAGATATTAGCCTCTATTCGCTAGTATATTAGTATCAGTAACAAATCCAATACGAGGGTTCATGGCAGCCTCTCACGCACGACGAAAGCTCCACCTTCTACACCAAATTAACCTACGTGCCAATGGTGCTATGTGGCGATTATCCATCCCTTATGTTGTCACGAGTGTATGTATCATTCCTCAAATGGCGATGAAACATGGGGGAGAGAATCACTCTTAATATATACATGTGGGGGTAGTCCAAGCTAACTGGCCAGCATACAGGAAGGAGAAAGGCGGAATATAAGGTCCCAAGCTCTTTCGCAGTCGCCAAGAATTCATTACTACTAGTAGCATTTATATACCTGAACAGTCAGTCCGCTTTGGAAACGATTCTTTTGCTAAATCGTTGTATCGCGAAAAAGCAGCTGGCACCAAAATCTATGGGTGGCCGGTATAGCTACTCGAAGTATAAAAGCCTATGTCACAGTTGCACAGCTCTATGAAAGAGCACTCGCAGATAACAACCTGGAAGGGGTTGTCGCGAAGAAAAGAGACTTGCCCATCAATTCTTTCGTCGTCATCCTACATAGTAGACGAAGTCCGAACACTTTCTCCTGTTACTCAATGAATCATTGTGTTGTCAATAACCTTCCTTTATTCGTGTACGACATTCGCAGAGCCTCGGTGCGAGCTTTTGTAGATTAATTTGCATTTGAATGGAATGTTCCAAGAAAAGGAAAAGGAGAACAAAAGAAGCTATATACTCTACTAGTAGCACCGGAGAGAGCACATCTACTAAGACTCGGAATGGAGTTATACGAACCCTTGAGAATGTTAGGCAATTTCACGCTCACTACTAGTAAATACGTTTAATTGTTGAGAAACGTGATTGATAATACCTGCCAGCTAATATTATATGGCAACACAAGGTCAAGAATCTATCGAATTGCGGGTGAACGTGTTTTTATATCAATGTAGTTGGTACTCTTGGATATCAGATACTCTTAGAATACAAACTGAAGCTGTGGGAAGAGAGAAAGTGACGGTTATTGCGAAGGTGAATGGGGTATGAGGGTACAAACAAGAGTACGGATTATGTCAAAAGGGGACGCATGAATACCCAACCATGTTTTTAAAACTCTCCAACATCCGCGCAAAGGTAAGATTGAGCGATCAAATAGCCTTCAGGGGGGCTCGACTTGGGTCTATGAAAAATAACACTTAAAGACCTTACTATAACCGTGTAATGTATACCACAAGCTCTCAGCACATGCCTTATTGCACAAACACCCCGGGTAACTAGCATCTCCTAATCCTTATCATAAGACTAATGCAGGTGAAATTGGAGTCTGGTCATAATAAAATCATTGTATGTTAAAGCGAAGCGTGGATGAGCACCGCACCCTGTGATCGGAAGGGAACCCAATCGGTGAAAGGGAGAGGATCGATAACCGACAACGAAGCCTTTGCCCGGAGCTGAATTTTCTGCGCCATAGGTACCACTAGACCTCCCTCTAGTAGATCAATCTGCCTGGAAAGAGATATAGCTATGTCTCTCACCTGTGGGAATATCAAGGAATATGGGCCACAGTAGTCCGTACGCCGCGACCATCGTCGGCTCCACAAGCTTGCTACAGCATATTTTATTCAACGGGGCTAGAAAGGGCTGACGTAGAGGATAATGGATGTGAGAGAGCTATGGACCTAGCACATGCTGAAAGCTGGACTTTCAGTGTCCAAAGGAATGGTGTCTGTTAGAAGTAAATTACTCGTCCAAGAGATAACATGCAAGAGAGACACCGATACTAAGGCATAGATATTAGTGACCACGGTTGTATTTCCTTAATAATATACATGAGATTCTCATAAGCAGCCAAAAATACCATTGCATAATGAGGTTTGGTTGGTACTAAATGGATATTTGGAGTTATATGCGCTGTCACGTCTGAATCGTGTGCTGGACGTAACTGGTACAAAAATCAGACGTCTGTTCGTTCTAGCTATTTTATGCGGACATACTCCGTACGCAATGTTCAATCATTCCACGAACCACGGGACAACATAGTTGCCCATCTTCAGGCAACGTTGGTTCAGAATTGCTGGGCTTGCACACAGTCAACGATGAATCCCATCTATTTGCCTGAACAGACACGGAAGGTCGACTCCGTAACCGACTTACAAGTTTTATAGACTAGAAGAAGGCAATTTTTGACAATCATGCATGTCAAAGGATTTCTCTTATCTGGCACTCACTCTTCCGCTAAAAGCCATGAATCAATTCGGTAATAAACCGTTCACTTCAAGGCATTGGTATCTAGTTCTATAGTGAACGGTTCTTGTGCACTTACCTTGTTTTAGTAAAGACAGCCTTTCTAAGGTGCTTAAGTCTTGGGCCATAGCATTAGTCCGTGGGGTGCCTAGAACTAAAATCTCAAGGATGGTAATAAATTCACGGCATAGGATTTATCGAAATTCACCGGAGTCTACCAGGGATTCTGCGAAGTAGTTAAATAGGACCTGAAATTTCTCTGGGCTCCATCACTAATGCCTTCATCCCCCACCCAGAGCCCGCTCACTTCAACTTCACCTAATATACCATGTTGTGTACCAAAGGTACAGTTTTATGAGGAGTGATCTGAGAGATATGTACAATTGGCACAGGGTATACATTAGCTAGTGTGATACAAACCCCAAGTAACAGTCACACCACCCATAAGTCCCGTGAGAGACTGGCAACCCATAGAGCCCTTAGACCCAACCTTGCCATTCCAGTTATAACGCGAGATAGAGTCGTTGATGAGGTCGATGATATCCGAGTTGCCGACATAGAACCCGTTTATCGACTTGTCGCCCGTGACACCAAATGCACAGGTGCCATACTGCACGAGCTGGTGCTGTCCACCAAAGTCCTCAACTTCCCAGGTACCACCGCCGGCAATGTTTCTTGTAATCTGCTGGCAGTCGCTCACAAGGGGGGAAGCATCCGAGGTCTGATTTTCGAAAGTAGAATCTCCGCAGTCATCGATCATGGCGTTCGAAGTGCTTTGCACAAAGATAACGCCGGGGGAATTGGCATTTAGAGACTGGGTCGTGGGTGCAGCCTGCGCGAGGGCGAGGAGGGTAGCAAAGACAGCAGCAATCTGAAGATGCATCTTGAGAGAACCTTTGAGGGATAAGAGGAGTTTTGGAAAGTTGTTTTTTCTCGGTCTGATCTTCTGAAAGTATAAGATACTTCTTGATGGTTGTTGTCCATGTTAGACGAAGGAAAGCTGATGCTTTATATACATACGGTCTAAGAGTCATGTCACTATATTGTTACTGTCATGAGACCCTTTGATCACTTCTACCTAGCTCTATAGTGGGATATAATACAGGGATCCTCTTCCAAATGTGCAGGTTGTGTGGTCATCTTCGTGATAGTGCTTACTGCCTGTCTCTCTAATAAGATAACAGGGAATTATGCGAGCAATTCTACATTAATCTACGGATATGTCTGGTGATTGCGACTTCTGAAGCTAGACAGGGGGGCATTAATGCGATTGAATGGTTTCTCATCATGGCGGATAAGCTGGATAGAACAAAAGGAGTACCGTCAACAACAATGAAGCCATAACATTGAACGCCTTCACTGCACAGCATTCTCTTCTCACCGGTAGACTGGAGTTCTGTATCTAGTGAGGCATAGATAACTGCGAAAGTAGCTGTACTACTCCTACTACATATACAACCCTATCTTTAAGGAAAAACTCTGCGAAGCTAGAAGTGTGGGCCCAATAGAGTGCCCTCTATCCTACACTAGACCACTCTAAGAGACGTATGGATACAGAACTATGAACGAACTTATGAATTCTATCTTATCTCTGCCGCAACTTGCGATAGTTCTACGTCATATTATCTCTTGTTTGGAATACTAGGGTAGTGTAGCTGAAGATTTAGATAGGCTTGATGAGCATATAGCAGTTGTGCCTGTAGAGCTCTACATTTGCTCAGTATATTGTAGTGATACTGGGCTTTGTGGTGGAAACCTCATTCTAAATTACCAAGCCGGAGATAACTAGAGTCTTGAAGTGGTAGTTTATAACTAAGTCAGTTCCTAACGCAAAGGTTTCTCCATACATAGTTAGACCAAAAGACTAGATTCTAACAGCGACATGGGTCGTTACTGCTTCAAGGGTTCCTAGGCCTAATAAAAGCTATGGGTGCCAACAAAAGATTACGATACTTAATAGAAAAAGTATTTTAGCAATGAGTCATTCCAGGGTATGAAAGCTCTGTTGATGGCGATAAGAACTCAGATCACTATAGCACTCTACCAACTATTGATCATATAAATGCATGCGTGGAGTCGTTCTCGGTTGTGTTTGGTTGTGCTTGATTACAATTGCTTAGCATTTATACCAACTGGCTAAATATTGTATATACCACTAACAGCCACAAAAGCCCAATAGCACTGAGCCTAGTGTTGAATATTGTCTGATTTGTCTCGAATAACTCTTTTCAATCGATGCTACGTTATAATTGAAACTACTCCCGAGTAGGCATCTGCTAATGCCCATCATGCAGTCTCTATAAACTAGTTCTAAGTGGGTCACACCTTCTATATTACTCTCTTGGCAAGGCTTGATCCTGATAGGTAGCGATGGCCTAATATGACCCACTACGTGTTCGCTTTGACCTTTGCCTTAGTGTCAGGAGCCGCTGCGCCTCACCAGATCCTTTCCAGGGTCTCAGACTCCCAGCCTATATGTCACATATCCTACAGTGTATCTTTTTCATGCACCCTGGGGACAGTTGAACTGTTAGCCTGTTCCCCCCAATAGTCAAACATATAGGATAGTAAATAGTGTTATTATATTCGTAGATTGGTATACAGACCTACTTTCGTTTTACAGGACTAATAATAACATCAGTGTATCTACATTGAAGAGCTTTGGGGGGAGCTTCCTACATCATGTCTTAGGACTCCACGCTATAGTAGAATAAGGGACTAATCAATTTTCAAAGACATGTATAATAGACCACTTAATTCACGCAAACTAGAACAAAATAAGTGTGGTGTCCGAGCAACGACGCGGACCTACTACCAAACATTCCCATCACTTGCAAGGGTCCATTTTAGCTCCAATGCCATAATCAGAGCAGGGAAATAAGGACTCATATCACGTCGTCGATTTCTTCAGGCTCTTTGTTTTCATAGCGTTGGATAATTACGTATCTTTTGCGTTTCATAAATTTGCCCTCAGGAATACCCCGCCACCGAGGCCTATTTCAACATCTCGCTACAATGTCTGGAGCATACATACAAGCACGCATGGACCATGCGATTTCCTCCCAGCCTCGCAAGGTCCTGAAAGCGCCCGATCGCCCGATCGCAATCCGAGGAAACTACATTGCCGACTCGAGGACACTCCTGACTCTCAGACCACAGGGGGGCGCCCAGTCTGTGGCTGCTTACAAAGTCCAGGACGAAAACGGGGCTACTCAGTTTACTGCCAGTGGTCGGAAATACAATAGTCGCTCATGCAGAGAATTTCGTGATGCTTCAGGCCTACCCTTGTTCGAGCTTCACCGGAAGATATCATTTAGAAATGCTTGGTCTATCACACTGCCAGGGAGTCCAACTGCTGATAGCATAGCCACTGGTGCACCGCGACTGGCCCCGTTTGGAAACTTTATATTCACGTTCACCAATGTAGTTACCACCGATATGAAAGAGTCAGGGGATGATAGACTGGTGACACTGGAGGTTGAGAGGCATGGGCGCGTATTAGAGTCCTTTGACATTGTGGATGGAGACAGGAAGGTCGCTGAAGTGCGCGAGAGCGTACAGCACAACCAGAAACTTGCCTTGACGCCAAGTACACGTCGCAATTATCGACCTGTTCTTGATATTGTCGTTACTCCAGGTGTGGACTTATCATTGGTAAGACCTGTTCAATAACCCCGCCCTATTGTTCGACTCTACTGACCCATACAAGGTTACTGTCTTGGCGATCATCATTGCGGATAGTGTATTCGGTTCTGAGTAGACTTATGCTACGGAGAGATAGGTTTAAGAAACACTTTCTGACATTTAAACATGGTTGAACCTATCTACAGAAGATATTGTTATGTTCTAATTATCTATCAACTCACGATCCTCCCCATCTTATCTGTTGTTCATGTTCCTTGCGTAGAGCGTGTACATCGTTTTTCTCAAACCCGAAATTCCACAATTTTTCAGGGATAGTACGGAGGCCCTTGTGCGGGACAGGGCTATTGGTTTTGGAGCTTTTGCTACCGATGTGCTGCAACACACTGGGTATCAATGCCCAGCGTATCTCTCCGTTCTGGTTTGCATAATCTTCCGTGAGCATGTCGACATAGCCGATTCCTTTTGACTCATACCAGGATACCAGGTCCATGATACGGCCTTGTGGAAATACGAACCCCTGCGAGCAGCAACCGAATTTAGGCATCTCGTGGACCCCTTCAGGGATGGGTAGCATTGTGACTCGTCCGGCCGCAAAGAAGAGGATGATCAGGAGAGGTGTACAAATGAAGGAAACCACAAACACTGTTTCTCTCGGTAGAAATGGCTTCGAAGAGGGTCGATAGCGGCGAAAGCACAAGGTTGTGAGTAAGATGGTAGATGCTGAGAGTAGAGAATAGAATAAATAGATAGACCATTCCTCCGAATTCCAGCCCAGGAAGTTCTCGGTGTGGAAAAGCCGAAGATAAAGCCCTTTTAAAGAACAACGTATATCAGTCTTGATACCCAAAAAGTGTGTAAGCGGCAGAGTGATCTTGGTTCAGAACTTACATTTCGATCCTTTCTTCTCCACTGTTTGCCACTCGACGGCACGCAAGGCCTGTTTTGTTCTATGATACCAGCCATCAAGAGCGATAATATCATCTTCAAGCATGACAGTATAAGGAGCACCAACAGCGGTACATGCTTTCAAAAGATAAGTATAGTCCAATAAACCCTTCTCAAGAGCTAAAGCTTTGGCCTCGGCTGTTTCAAGACTTCGGATATGGTCGACGTCAATGTCTTTCTCGTCATAGAGTAGAACCTTATCAGCCAGTCCATGCAGCCATGGCTCCGAATAGGCCGGGTGCTGTACAGGATCGGTATGGGCAATGAATAGGATGAGAAATAGATCTGCTCTCTCTAATGGAGAAAGGCTCGCCAACAGCGATCCGACTGCGCTTTCAAAATAACTTACACCATCTCGTGCGACAGAGGCAAATCCTACACACATCGTAGGGTTCGGAGATGCCTTAAAGCGGGGAGCTTTCGTCACGTTATTAGCCTCTTCGATCAAAGCCATACCCTGGGCCGCACGCAGACTAGAGTACGAAGGCTCGTAGGCTTCATTTTGTCTGAAGAAGAGTGATGTCGGGTCACGCCAACAAGTCAGACGAGCAAAGTATACAAGAAGGGCATAAGGGATCAAAAAGATTAGAAATACACGGCATGTGTAAGATTCGAGGAAGGAGGATAATCTAGGAAGCCTTAGTGGTATGTGCATATTGTCTGTGAAAAATGAATGAAATAATCAGAAAGATGAAAGAGCAATTTGAGATATTGATCACTTTTGAAAGTATTCTCTTGTAAATCGTTGCCAGTGCTTCTTATCTGCTGATCTATGGTCACCCCTAGCTATACCCAAAACTGTTTAGCTGGAGGGTACGCAGACGAGGCTTTTTCTCTTTCTTCATTTTTCCAATTTTTTCGATGCCATTTTGATTTTAGTGCTAAATCCCCTTTCTTTTTTTTTTCGCTTCCAAGAGTAAAAGACCGGTGTCATACAGTATCCATCAATATAAGTATGATTGGTGAAGTTCGGGATACCCCTGTCAGTTGTTCAAGAAATTAATTAATTCAATCATTAAGACCTAAGAAGCGATCAACAACCCTACTCTACGACGCTACTGCATTCTAGGCTGAGTTGGCTACGCTCCTAACCTCTTATACCTATGACCAGCCTTGAAATGAAACAAGCATTACTTGTCAACCCTAACCCCGCCCATAATATCCACGTTCTAGCTTCGGAACTTTTGGCCTACTTGACCTCGGATGCAACCCAAAGACCAACAGATTAGTATGGGTCAGGCGAGCTTAGACCTCGCAGATTGGCCCAAGAAACAATATCTGGGTGAGACATCACCAATTCATGAAGCCTATTGTTCATTGCGTATTAGAATTGAACGCAAGTTCAACTATTACTTTAAGGGTGGATTCGGCCTACCAGTAGTATAACCTAAACATTGTGATACTAGTTGGGGCTGCTTTTAAACTGCTTAGTCATATACACCTGGCACAGGGCAATTTCTCCGAACAAATCTTATTGTGGCTCAGCTTATTTTCCTATTTTTGCTGGGGCAAAGTCTCTCTGTCGAATGATGTTGTATGTGTCTATCTTGGACCGACTTTATTTCTTAACAAAGAGTATATTTATCTAGAGAGAAATTTATTCTTTATACTACTCTAGATATTAATTATAATATTATAAACTATAAGATATATAAGTATCTATCTACTCTTAAATATATATAAAATTAAAAATAAAAAGTAAAAATTCTATATTTTAATTAATTAATATAGAACTATTCTCTAGTTCTAAACTATTTTTAAAATTATCTATATTTTTTATATTATTATTCTATTTATTTTTAATCAAGAAAGCTATATTTTCTAAATCTATATTATTTAAAATATTTTTAAACTTTTTATAAATTATAAATTAATTGTTACAGACCCTTGTCTAGCATATCTTATCGAAGGTGGGCACATAAGGCAGAATATTATAGAACAAGAAGAACTGAAGCCAACTATAAGATTATCAGAGAATAACTACAGTAAATATTTAATATAATAATAAATAAAAAACCGATATCAGTTTAGTTATATAAAATCTACTCCGGAATTTATTCTAGAGAGAGTATACCAGGAGTATACAGTACTGTATATTATAATTAAATATATTTTACTATTTACTCTTAAAAGAGTTATAGTAGAAGTAGTTAATTATAGAATATATAAAAATATTTATTTATATACTTAATTTAATTCTTTATAATTAATCTATATTATTATTATAGAATTATCTTTAATAATAAGACTAGTCTTAACTTATTTATACT